TTGTGCAGGAAAAGGCTATATCAATTAAACTTTAAAATAGGGACATGAGAGGCTTCTTCTTTTAGTTTTTACTTCTTTTAGTTTTTTACTTTTTAAAAAAGCACACATCATTTTTCCAAGTGCAGTGTGAATCTCCCCACCGCCACCCCCGCCACCTCCTCCAGGAAGCCCCCCTGTCCCTCCCAGAGGATCATCAGCCCTGCCTCCTCTATAGCCCCTTGGTGACAGCCCACTATGTGGGCCACTTTGAGTTAAGGTCCCTGTGTGGCCACCTTCATGTGACGACAACCACTCGGGGCACAGTCTTTGGCCAGCCTGTAGATGGACCTCACCACACGAGGACCAGCCTAGGGTGGAGAACCCACTTGAAATTCTGTGGCTGTCTTTATTCTTGGGTGGATGTGGAATTTAACCCAACAGATCCATATAACTGACTTCTGGGTGGTAGGAAGGCACTGTGTTTATCCCTACTGCAGGGGAGCTGTGAGGCAGTACAGGTGTGGGGCCTGGGGAGACGGGAAGGAGCAGTGACTGCTGGCTGAAGGCAGCAGCCCTTGTCCACCCCTGTCCACCCCATCCATCCACCTGTCCACCCCCTCCACCCACCTGTCCACTCTGTCCATCCCTGTCCACCCCGTCCATCCCTGTCCACCCACCTATCCATCCCATCCACCCACCTGTCCACCCTGTCCACCCACCTGTGCACCCCTGTCCACCCCATCCGCCTACCCGTCCACTCTGCCCATCCTTGTCCACCCTGTCTACCCCATCCATCCCTGTCCACCCACTTGTCCATCCCCTGTCCACACCTCTGTTCTTGGGTCATGACCCCACAAAGGAGGGGCAGGGGAGGGAAGCAGGGCCCATGGTTAGAAGGGGCCCCACATGCAAGTCCCCCACTGAGTTTCTCATTCTCTCCCTCCTCCCCCAAAACCAGAGGGTGACACTGTTAAAAGCTTAGTCTTTGCCGCAGGAGGTGACATTTTATGATAATTGTTACAGTGGGTGAGGCTTTTATGAGGGAGACAGAAAACTCCAGAGGCAGAAACTTGGTCTCAGACGAGGAGTCTGGAGATGATTGTATTTCCTGTGCTTGGTGAGTCGGGCAGGCGTTGAATTACAACTTGAATTTTCAGTCTGGCTTATTCACTTGTGGTCTGAGCCACAAGATTCCTCTTCTAAAAAATGGGATTGTTAACTAGATGATGTGAACTGTCAGTTTTAACATTCTACAAGTCAATAAATAAGATAATTTTATTTTATTTTTAAATTTTCATGACTTTTTTTTGCTTACTTTTTTTTTACCAGCCTTACATATTTTGAGTTCTTGTTTCTTTCACATTCAACCTTATGCATATGTATATTTATGCAGTTTTAATATCGTTTATACACTATATAGTGTTCTGATTTTTTTCAGAATTAGGCACTTCGTATTTTTACAGATTTACGTATTACTATTTCAATGATAATAAACCATAGACTAGATATGCCTTGATTTACTAAGGTGCCTGATTGCTAGGCATTTTGGATGGTTTTCTGTTAGCATACAGACGGCTTTTATTTGTCCTATAAATTGGCTCCCTGTGGGTTTAGTGGGTCAGGAGACGTGAATTTTCCATATTCTCTCATCCGTCTTGTAACTCGTTTTCCCAGCGGGAAGAAGATGCACTTTTCCGTCATCTCTTGCTTTGCTTCCTTCATCCGTGAATGAAGTAGAGCTCTCAGTTATTTGTTTTCTTTCTTAGTCTGGCATTTTTGAAAAGTGCTAAGTGAAATTTGCCTGGATGGTCTTACTGGGAACTGCCATCCAGAGGTCTTGAAGCACTGGGTCCTGACCCTGGCACTCCCTGTGAATTTAGCTTCATCTGATCCCCCTTGTGCTAGGAAGGGGCAGCAACCCCACAGATCCTGGCCCAGGGCCACGGGAGTGTCCCAGTCAGCTCCGGCTGCCCTGATGCGGCACCCCACCCTGAGAGGGGCTGGAAGCAAGCTGCCGACGGATTTGGGTCCCCAGTGAGGGCCGCCTTCCTGGGTCCTCATGTGGTGGAGAGAGAATTCTGGTCTCCTCTTCTTAGAAGGACCCCAGTCCCGTCACCAGGGCTCCACCCTCGTGACCTCATCCAGTCACCTCCAGGCACCAGCACATGGTGGGCTAGGGCGTCACTGTATGACTCGCTGGGGCACAGCTCGGTCCTTAGCAGTAAGCTTCCAGAAATACTCATGTGTGTTCTCAGGCTCATTCCTGGAGAAGGTGCTGAGTCCCTTCTCACAGCTGATCTGAGAGGGACTCCCACCCCAGGCCCATTGCCTCTCCCCTACACGAGCGTCACTGCCCATCAACTGTGGGCTTGCACGACTCCCGTCCCAGGGGGAGGTCAGTGAGAACAGACGCAGATCCCTGCAGCCGGGAGGCTCGTGCCCCCAGGCCCTGAGGAGAGTGTCCTGCTGTGTGTTAGCTGTCAAGTGTCACCGCCTGGCCTTTGTCCATGGGTGTTAGGTCCAGCAAATCTCCTTCTAAAGGTCTTAAAGGGGGTTAGAGGTCCTTCTTAAGATTCTTCACAACGTAAGTATGTAATTTCAGCCACTATTCTCCAGAAAGTTCAGAACACCTTATCGAACTTGCTCCGATGTTCTGTCACTGGTTCTCCAGAGGCAAGTTATTAATCTTTTGGAAACAAATGAATTCTTTCACGGTCTCAGGATGCCCACTCCTGTGTGCAGTGAAAGGGCTAATTCCCCAGACGGATGCTGGTGGGATTAACTCACCTAATTCCTTCAGGGACAGTGGACTCTCTGTTAGGGGAGCTCTGCCTGCAGCCATTAGTCACACACCCTGACTCCAAGTGGCTTTGTGGCTACAACCTGCTGTTTGCCTGACAGCACACGCTACCTATGCAACGTCTATGCTCCCTAACTGTGAGTCCCATGTGGCCAGGACTCAGGGACCCAGCTCTGAAGCAGGGAGATCGGGGAGCCTGGGAAACAGAGAAGCAGTGTCCAAGCAACGGCAGGGAGGAACTCAGACTTGGTGGAGGACCCCCAGAGGACACGGCCAGAGAGAGGATGCCGTCCAAGTGGAACAGTCCTATGCCCGCCGGCGTTCCCCGGGTGCCCTGAGTCCCAAGCAGAGAGCCCTGCTCCAGGAGATGCTGCCAGCACCAGGAAGCCTGCAGTCACCTTGAGATGCTTCTGGGGTTTTCTTTCTGTTGCCCTGGGAAAGACTCCAACTCTCTGGGGACCCTGGGAGAGGGCGACGGCTTCAGCAGAGCTTTCTGTGCCAGACCCGCCTCCCTTCAGCTGTGCTGCCTGCGCACCTCACACCCATCTCCTCACCCAGCGCTGAAACTGCCCAGAAGTCACACAGACCCCTGATCCTCAACTGCGGGCGCTCCTTGGCCTGAATCTGGTGCCCTCAATGGGTGTGAAATGTTTCATCCCCAGGTTCACAGACAGCTCACTCCTGCCTGCCTCCCCCACCTCCCCAAAGTCTCCTTCCTCTCCTCTTCCCCCCGCACCCTGGCGCTGGCTTCCATCCAGTGTCTCCTCCTCCACCCCTCCCACAGGACCACCCATCCCCCCCGGACAAACTCACTTGCCTCCTGGTGGACTTCGGCTGCCTCATCAGGCCTCCTCTGCAAAGCGCTTCCACGGGCCCTGCTCTAGGAAGAAACTACAGCCCAGCCACCAAAGCTCCTCTTTCCTGCTCCTGAAAGCTTGCCTTCTCTACTTCCCCAGCCCAGGTCCCAGGATCTTTGGTCTAACACTAGCCAACACATGGTCAGCTTTGGTTACATGTCATTTATTGGGCTTCTGGCCTTTGCTTTGTTCTCTCTGCCTAGAATTTGACGTCAACTTTCCCCAGGAAACCCAGAACGTCTCTTTCATCAGAGATTCTTGAAGTCTGCAGTGTTAGTTATCTGCATCTCTCTCACAGCTCTTGCTATACGGTTACTGGTGAACTGGCTGTCTCTGCCTACTGTCCTGAGCAATAGGTCACCCACTTTTATATTTCCTGCATCATATATTTCAGGCAACAACAGATATTGTTACATAAATGAATCAAAAATTGGTCTCTAAATGTTTAGCATGACTGTATATGCAACTCAATGTGAATTCACTTTCTAGGTTGATAAATGTTTGATGAAATGTCTATTGCACCTGTTTGTTAAGTAGATAAAAGAGTATTATTCCTTCAATAGACAGAACCCTGAAAGAGGACCCAGAAGGAAACAGAGGACTTGAAAAACACTATAAACCAATTAGACCAAACAGGCATATACAGAACACTCAAAAAACAGCCACAGCACATACTTTCTTCTCAAGAGCACAGGAAGTGTTCTTTAGGATAGATCACATGTTAGGCCACAAGACAATTCTCAATACACTTTAAAAAACTGAAATCATACACACTATCTTCTCTGATCACAATGCAATGAAACTAGAAATCAAAAACAGAAGGAAAACAGGAATATTTGCAAATATGTAGAAATTAAATGACATACTCAAATAGCCAATGTACCACAGAAGATATCACTAATGAAATTTTAAGAAAAGTCTCTAAGAAAATATTTAGAGAAGAAAGAAAATGGAAATACAATATAGCAAAGCTTGTGGGATACAGCAAAAACAGTGCTCAGAGGGAAATTTATAGCTGTGAACACCAACATTTAAAAAAATGAAACTAATTAAAAAGAACCCCGATGTTCATCGCAGCATATTTAAAACAGCCAAGACATGGAAATAAACTAAATGCCCATCAATAGATGAATGGGTAAAGAAATGTGGCATGTATACACACACACACACACACACACACACAGATCTTCCTTGATTTATAATGGGGTTATGGCCTGATAAAGTCACTGTGAATTGAAAATATCATAAACCAAAAATGCATTCAACACACCTAACCTACATCATAGCTTAGTCTAGCCTACCTTAAATGTACTCAGAACACTTACATTAGCCTACTGTTGGACAAAATAATCTAACACAGTCTATTTTATAACATCTCATGTAATTTATCGAATACTGTACTGAGAATCAAAGCCAGAATGGTTATGTGGGTGCATAATGGTTGTAAGCATATCGGTCGTTCACCCTCATGATCACATGGCTGATGGGGTGCTGCGGCTGCGGCCACTGCTCAGCATCACGAGAGAGTATCTTATCCTGTATCATCAGCTAGGAAAAGATCAAAATTCAAAAACTGAAGTACGGTTTCTGCTGAATGTGCACAGCTTTCACACCATCATAAAGTAGAAAAATTGTTAGTCGAACCATCATTAAGTCAAGAACCATCTATACAATGGGATATTATTTAGCTGTTAAAAGGATAAAAACATACTATTTGCAACAACGTAGATGGACTGTGAGGCATTATGTCGAGTGAAAGAAGTCAGACAGAAAAAGACAATACCATCCAATTTCACTGATATGTGGAATCTTAAGGGAAAAAAACCTCATAGATACAGAGGCAGGGGGTGGACAAAATGTGTGAAGGGGTCAGAAGTTACATATTTCCAGCTATGAACTAAGTAATAGGGATGCATGTGCATCATGGTGACTTCAGCACTGTATTGCATTTTTTAAAGTTGCTAAGAGTGAATCTCAAAACTTCTCATCACAAGAAAAATTTTGTGTAACTATGTTTGGTGATGAATGTTCACTAGGCTTGCGGTGGTGGTTCAGCTCATTTCTCAATGTGTACAAATATCAAATCATTATATTATACATCTGAAACTAATATAATGTTACATGTCAATTATGCCTCAATAAAATTTTTTTCACCAAAAGAAATAACTCAATCAACAACTTAACTGTACACCTTAAGGAGCTAAAGAAAGAAGAGTAAACTTAACCCAAAACTGGCAGAAAGGAGGAAATAATGAAGGTTAGAGTGGAGATGAATAAAACAGTGTAAAAATGACAGAATCAACAAAACCAAAAGTTGGTTCTTTGAAAAGATCAACAGAGTTGATAAACTCTGACAAAGAGTCTGGAAATTAGCTGTATGGACTAAGAAAGCACACAGAGGGGAGACATAAACAGCTGAAAACAGAAATGAAAGTGGGGACACGACCGCAAACCTACAGAAGGTAAAAGAATTATGGGAGAATAGCACTAGGAGTAACAGTGTGCCGACAAATTTGATAATCTGCGTGAAGAGAACAAATTTCAAGAAGCACACAAATTACCAACGTTGACTAAAGAGAAAAATCTCAGCAGATCTATTCTGTAAAGAGACAGAATCAGCAAGGAAAACCCTCCTAGCAGAGAAAAGTCCAGTACCAGACGGCTCTGTGGAAAGTTTTACCAACTATTTAAAGAAGAATTAACATGAGTTCTTCTAAAACTCCTTCAAAATATAAAGGAGGGGCCACTTTCTAACACAATCAATGAGGCCAGCATTACCCTAATAGCAAAGCCAGACAAAGCTATCACAGGAGAACCACAAACTAACAGTGCTGTGAACACAGAGGCCAAACTCCTCAACAAAAGGCTAGCAAACCAAACCCAGCATAGGGAGCATCATACCCCATGACCAAGAGGAACTATTCAAGGAACACAAGGGTGATTCAACATAGGAAAACCAAGCCACTGACTCCATGTTAGTGGAATGAAGAGAAGAAAAAACAGAATTAAAAAACCCAGTCATCTTGATGCAAAAAGGCATTTGACAAAATTCAAAACTCTTTCTTGGTGAAAGCACTCAAGAATAGAAGGTGAGAGAGTCTGAAGAAGAAATATGTGTATGTATGTGTGTAACTGAGTCACTGAGCTGTACACCAGGACTAACACAACAGTGTAAATCAGCTACACTTCAGTGAAAAAGAAAAATACTCAAAGGGAAAAAAAAAGGATAGAAGGCAAGAGAAAGTTATCTTCCCCAGACTCACAGCTAACATGTACTTAATGGTAAAAGATTGCACGCTTTACCTCTAAAATCAGAAACAGAGCAGGGATGCCTGCTTCCAACACAGCTATTCAACATTGGACTGGTAATTCTAGCCAGAGAAGTTAAGCAAGAAAAACAAATAAAAACTGTAAAAATTGGAAAGGAAAAATTTAAATTATTTCTATTTTCAGATAGTATGAATCCATGTATAGACAATCCCAAATAATCCACCAAAAGACTACTAAAGCTAATAAACAAATTCAGTAAAATTAAAGGGTACTGGATCACCATCAAAACAATGAGTTGTATTTCTATATACCATCAATGAACAATCCAAAAAAATTTTAAAAATAATATTTGCAGTAGCATCCAAAAGAATAAAATACCTAGGAATAAATTTAACCAAGGAGTTGGAAGATTTGCATGCTGAAAACTAAAACACATTGCTGTAAGAAATTTTAAAAGACATTCATGTACATGGATTGGAAGTCAATGGTGTTAAGATGGAATACTTCCCAAAGTGATTTATAAATTCAATACCACCCCTACCACACACACAAAAATTACAAAAATTATTATGGCATTTTTTTTGTGCAGAAATAGAAAAGCCAGTCCTCAGCAAACAGGGAATTGTGAGGAACCCAAGTATCCATAACAGCACTGAGAACAAACTAAGTTGGGAGTTCACACTTCCTGACATCAAAACCTATTACAAAACTATAGTAATCAAAACAGTGTGGTACTGGCATAAGGCTAGACATAGAGAACAACAGAATAAGATTGAGAGTCTTGAAATCAACCCAGGTGATTTACAGTGAAGGCGCTATGGCCAGTCAACAGGGGAAAATAGTCTCCTCAACAAACGGCACTGGATAATCACACGTGAATTTGGACCCCTCCTCATTCGATGTGAAAAACTTAACTCAAGTGGATCAATGACCTAAAACTTACAAAACTGTTAGGAAACAAAAGTAAAACTTCATGGCCTCTGATTTGTCAATGAGTTCTTGGATTTGACACCAAAAGCACAGACATCAAAAGGAAAACACAGATACATTGGTCTTCATAAAAATTAAAACACTTTGGGCATCAAAAAATATCAAGAAAATGAAAAGTCAACCTACAGGATGTCAAAAAATATTTGCAAACTGTATGTCTGATAAGGGTTTAGTACCCAGAATGTATAAAATACTCTTACAACTCAGCAACATTAAGACAAACAACTCAGTTTTTGAAATGGGCACAGGACTTGAATAGATTTTTCTCTGAAGAAGATATGGAAATGGTCAACAAGCACATGAAAAAGATGCTCAATATCGTTAGCCACTAAGGAAATAAGCATCAAAACCACAGAGGTAACACTACATGCTCATGAGGATGGCTGTAATTTTTTTAGTGACAAAAAGTGAAAATGTAGAGAAATAGGAAAACTTACACATTACTGGTAGGAATGTTAAATGATGCAGCTGCTATGGAAAACAGGTTAGTGGTTCCTCAAAAAGTTATACATGAAATTATCACATAGCCCAGCTCCTAGGTGCATGTCCAAGACAGATGAAACACATCCACACAGAAACTTGTGCAGGAATGTTCATAGCAGCACTGTTTCCAGCGGCCAAAGGTAGAAACAACCCAAACGTCCATCAGCAGATGATGGATAAACAAAATGCGGTGTAGCCACACCATGGAATATTATTTGCCCACAAAAAAGAAAGACACCAATGCAGGCTACTGCGTCTGACCCTCAAAAACATTATGCCCAGTGAAAGAAGTTAGACACAGAAGTTGACCAAGGGTAGGCTTCCTTTCATGTGAAATGCCCACAGTAGGCAAGTTCTTAGAGACAGATCGCAGATTGGTGGCTGCCTGGGGCTGCGGGGTCCGGGGGAGGAGAGATTACGCAGTGACCTGGGGGTGTTTTTCTAGGGTGTGTATTTTGAGAAGATGTAGAACTAGAGAGAAGTGGTGACACAGACACTGCGTGTGTGCTAAGTGCCTCGGAGTGTGCACTCTATAGCAGCTGTGTGAGTGTCACCTCAACACAACACACGTAAAAAGAGTTTATTAACGAACCGATCTTCACCTCTTGATGGCAGGTCATCGAACTGGTATTGGTTTATAGAGCAAACACTTTGCTCACTCCTGTTCCTGTTTTGCTGACCTGTCAGGGCTTTCAGGGACCAGATCAGCCCGAGAGGCTGAGGGCGTGAGGACATCACCTTCTGAATCCGTCCCCAGAACTCCGAGGAGCATCTGGCCTTCTCAACCTGAGTCTCCTCTGTGCCTTCGACCTTGGGGCAAGCTCAGAGCTTGGATCTTGTGTCACACTCACCACCGGCTGCTCAGGGCTCATCCTGTCTGACAAAATGCCATCCCACTTAGCCGGGGGCAAGAGGACCCCTGAGCCTCACTCAGCACAAAGCGCATCGGTGCTTGATGGGCAGAAGAGGCAGCTTCAGGCGGCCTGCAGTCCAGGCTGGAGGGCGGAGGGCTCCGGCCAGGGCTCCCAGGATGGAGGGATGGAGTGCTGCTGCCTGGCTGTAGCGGACCCCTGAGGCCATCAGTCCCCTTCCCCACCTGCCTTCACCCCTTCCCTTCCCTAGGTCTGGATTTCTGAAGTCCGGGACCTACGCTCCAGAGACAAGGACTGGGCCTCACCCATTGTCTCACCTCCTCCCCCACCCCCTGCTCCCTGCCCCTCACCCACAGTGGCCCTCCTGCAGCAGGACGATCGTTCACCCCTGGGGGGAGCAGCGTGCCCCGCAGTGGTTCCTGCTCCGGTGGGACCCGCAGTAATTACCGCGATGACTAAGGAAGTTCGGTCCTGTCTGCATTCGCCAGAGTTTCCAGCTCTGAGGCCAAGTCAGCGTCACATGCTGACACCCGCCAAGCAGCCCTGTGGGCGCCGGGGTCTCGGCCCCCGTTCGTTCACTGCAGGCTCTGTTCCACCCGCCTTGGATGCTCAGGCCGCTTCCACGTCCAACTCTGTCAGCTTCCCAGAGCATCTCCCCAGAGCACGCGCCCTGGCCGGGCCCCAGGAGGAGAGCGGCTGCTCAGCCAGGTTCACTCAGGCCTGTTTTCCTGGTAAAGGAATGTGGACTCTGCGGGAACCACAAAGCCCTGCGAGGTTCCTGGAACAGGGACCTCCGTGCTCCTCCAGATGTTGCGAAACCTTAGCGCCAAACGTGGCCCAGAGCAGTGAAGAGGGAAGAGGAATTTTTGTTTAGCCTTTTAGGGGTGGCTGTGCGTCACGCCCTCCCAGCCAGGAGGACCCGCGAAGTGAGAGGGGTCCTGGCCGGACCATGGAGGCGGTGATCGCACTCCCGCCCCGCAAGGTGGGGGTCGCCGTCAAAGGCTCCTGAAAGGGGCTGAGCCACGGCAGGACGTGCAGCTTGTGCAGACGGCGTGGCCTGGGGGACGTCCATCTGCAGAGGAGGGGCGGGGGTGAGCCGGGCTGGAGGGAGAACGGATTCCTCCCCTCACAGGAACTGAGGCCAGAGGGCTGGAGCTGAGGGACGTCGGCCTGGAGCAGAGTCCGGAGATGAAGGAAGGAAGAGGAGAGAAGGCCAAGTGGGGCTTGGGGGGACCTCTCCTGCTCCCTGGGTCACCGCACCCCTCTGCTCCGTCCAGGATGGGAGGGGCTGGATGCCAAGGAGAAGGCCGTGTGTTTGGGTCGGGAGAAGTCCAGGGCCCTACCTTGGCAGGCCAGGATTTAGGCCCAGGTCAGAGGAAGCTAAGCCCTGGCCATCTTAGCCTGGGGGGAAGGGCTCCAACCTCCAGATGCTCAGCCAAGTGAGTAGGTGAAGTTTTGCCACAGACCCCAGGCTGGTGGCCTGCTCCTCCATGCCTCCCCTCTGCTCGCTGCCTGCAGCCCTCTCCGCCCCCTCCCTTCCCCTCCAGCCCCAGGATGCATCCCTGCGGAGCCAAGAAGGTGGGAGGCCTTCTGTGTTCGTCAGCCCCTGGGCCAGGGCAGGCCTGGCAGAGGGCAGCTCACAGCTCTCCAGCCTCCTGGGGCCACACCGAGTGCTCTGGAAGGAGGCGGGGGAAGCGCAGGTTCCGACCTGACCTGCCGGAGGTCCCGCCTGAAGCCCGTCTGGAGCAGCCCAGCCCGCGTGGAGGCTGATCCCACCGGCCCGCTGCGTCAGCAAAATGGGTGGATTTACAGGATCGACTGTCAGGCCAGAAAGGAACTCTGCTGTCCTGAGCCCTGACACGGATGGACTCAAACCGGCTTTCCCTAAACATTAATTACGTCTGTGAGACTCACTGTGAAGAGCCGGTGAAAAATTAATCAGTGGTCTATCTAAGAAAGAGATGGAAAATCGTGCCTGAGCCAACCTGCCGGCTGTAACCCAGGAGACGGACGTTCAGAAGCTCTGAGGGCCGTTCCGCCCTTGACGTCAAAGCGAAGCAAGATAAGTGTTTGAGACAAAGGGTCACAAGTGACAGCAACACACTGACAGTTTCCTTAGTCCAACACGGGGGTGGTGGGCCATCGAGACCCCTACAGGACTGAGGGAGGAACGTTATCTCTGAGGAGTCACCTGGCTGGTCCTGGAGAAAACTGCTTGTTTTTTTCGGTGAGTAGCATTCCGTGTCTTCCAAGGGGACCTAGTTCACGTCTGACACGTGTCACAACGCACACGAGGGAGGGGCAGCGGCTCAGAGGGCAGAGAAAACAGTTACATTGTTTTTCTCGTCCTGCTTAAAAATAGCTTTATTTCACCAGTAGCTACTCTATTGGATAGAATTCCACTGTGGGTGTCACGCAGTTCAAGGACCCTTCCTCCAGTGTGTGGACCCAGGCCTGTCCAGGGGGAAGGCAGCAGGACCGAGGGGACAGGTGGTCAGGAGGGAGGTGCCGGCCGGCCGTGGGGCTCCTTCAGCTCCTACGGGAGAGTCCTGGGTGAACCACAGGCCTTCTGGAGTGAGAAATCATGGCTGTTCTGTTCTGTCTGTCACTCCCCAGAAGTGTCCCCTCTTAGCCCTCTAGTCACATCTGGGTGGGACTCAAGGGTGAGATCGGGTCACTGTCCCAGAGCCCCGTGGGCTCTGCTGACCTAAATCCCTCTGGTCACCACAGGGCGCCACCTGTGGGTTTCTGTCCACTGTCCGGCTTTAGTGACATACTCTAGACGGACAACAGTCACTCCAGATGCAGTCACCCAGACACACCTGCTGTGGTGTGAGACGGTGATGGACTGTCCATCACCCCAGGTTCCTGCCTGCCCTGCAGTCCCCCTTGTCCAGGGGACACGAACCTGTTTGTCACCACGGATTAATTTGCACGTCCTGTGATGGACTCGTACAGGGCTGCCTGTTCACACTGAGAAAGTGCTTTCTGAGGCGCTGGTGACGCTTTCCCTGTCGACGCCGAGCGGCTTTCCCTGTGTGTATGTCACACTCTACACACGCACCTGTTAGTGGACACTGGGGTGGCTTCCACAGTTGGCTATCAATGGACGGACAGACCTAGAGAGGGAATGTCTGGGCCGTATGGCCACATGTTCCATTTTTTAGAGAAAGTGCCAGACTGTTTTCCAAGGTGGCTTTACTGCCTTACACTCCTGCCAGCAGCCTGCGGAGCGCGGTGGCCCCACGTCCGCACCGGCGCCTGGCCGTCAGTCCTCTTAATTTGGGCCATGCTAGTGGGTGTGCAGCAGTGTCTCGTGATGGGTTTGCACTTTCGTTTCCCTAATGACTGAACGGTGTTCAGCGTCCTTTTTGTGCGTCTTTGCTGATGTGTCTGTTCAGATCTTCTGCCCATTTTAAATGGAATCGTTCGTCCTATTGCTGAGTTGCGGGGCTTCGTGGTGTTTTCTAGGTAAAAGCCTTTGGCTGGAAACGTTTTGAAAATACTTTCTCCCACTCTGTTGCTTGCCCTTTCATTGTCTTTGGTGTCTCTCGGGTGAAAGTTTGAGACTTGTGGAATTCAACTAAAAAACCTACCAGGATTTTGACTGAGACTGTCGATGCTACACGTTAATTTCGGGAGACTGGCGTCTTGATGATGCTGACAACACTGACTCTTCCGTCCCACGAACGCAGTGTCTCTTCGCTTACTTAGGTCTTTGGTTGCTTTCAGTGATGGTTCTAAATTCTCACGTATGGGTCTTGTGTGTGTCTTTTGTCCAATTTATTTCTCGGTATTTTTATTTCTCACCTTGTGTTTTAAACTAACTACAGCTTCACAAGAAGTTGGAAAGTAGTACCGGGAGGCCCCACATATCCACCACTCAGCTGCCCCACGAGGTAGAACCTGCACGATGACAGGCATCAAAACCAGGAGCTCCGTGCTGGCACGACAGGTTAGCTGGGCTCCAGAGCTCGCCCGACTGGACTGGGTTTGCAGGTTCACCTTTATTCCGAGTGTGCACTTGTGCAGTGACTCTATGATGTGTACACCCCACAGCCACATTCAAGACCCAAAATGTACGGTCCCACAGAGGACCGCCCAACCCCAATTTCTTCTCCATCTCAATAATCTGTCGTTTCAGGGCATCATGCAAATGGAACATTGTACAGCCTCTGAGGCTGGAGTGCACCCAGCGCAGTGTCGTGGTCTGCGTCCCGGTGGTCGTTTCCGAGCAGTGCTCTCCTCCAGGGTGGACCAGGGCTTGTGTGACCATGGAAGGGCAGCCAGGGTGTCCCCAGGCTCCAGCTATTGCCACTGAAACTGCTGTGAACATTTGTGTGCAGGTTTAGTATGGATGTAAATGTTCGTCTCTCCAGAATAAATGCCCAGGGGTGCAACTGCTGAGTCACGTGCTAGATGTATGTTTAACTTTTTAGGAAACTTTGAGACAGACTGGATGGAGATGAGTCAAGTGTGGTGGGAGGAGGCGGGGACAAACTTAGAAGAAACAGTCTTGTGATTTTCCTTTCAAAAATCAGTTTTTAAAAAAGAAACAGACCTGCTACATATGTGGTAAATCAATTTCAACAAAGGCCTCAACACAACTCAATGGGAAAAGGAAGTTCTTCAACAAATAGCATTGGAGCCATCGGACATCCTTCTGCAGGGGGAGCACTGGCCCTTATCCCGCACAACAGACACATACGAATAATTCAGAATGGGTTGTAAGTAAATGTAAATTCTAACCCATAAAACGTCTGCAGGGACACGCAGGAGAAAAGTCTTCTCCTTGGGGTAAGCAAAGATCTTTTAGAACAGAAAAAGCATGAAACAATTTTAAAAGCTGATCGATTGGACTTCGTTGAAATTAAAACTTCTGCTCTTCAAAACACACCATTAAGAAACAGAAAAGACAAATCACAGAAACATATGCTAGTCTACAACCAGCCGTCCCACTCCCGGACGTTTACCCAAGAAATAAAAACCGTGTCCACGCCAAGGAGTGTGCATGAAGCTTTATTTGTAATTGTGAAACTGTTAGAGCAGGCAGATGGCGAGACATGAGCCGAGAAAGGCGGACAGAGACCACATGGCAGGAATGGGCAGAAAGGAGGGGCACAGGCCAAATGCAGGACAACAGACATCCTGTGAGCGCCAGGGTCCCTGGGCAGAGAAGGGAAAGCGGAAACCTCTGGGCTGATAAGTGGTCACAAATTTTGGGGTGATGCGTGGCCTGGAGACAGACACAGAAAGGTGAGAAAAGGCAGGAATCCCCAGGGTCCGAATGTAACCTTTTACTCATTATGCCCTCATTTCAATAAAATTGGCCTTGCAGATCAGAAGTGCCCATCATGCACCGACGCCAGGACACTTCCAATCCAGACTAAATAAGGACAAAAAACCCCTCCTCCCTTTGGGAGGGTGGAGTTGGGATGATGATCAGGGAATACGACCCCAGACCCTGCCCTCCCCGGTGAATATTCCACCCATTCATTTTTACACCCTTTGTAACTAGCTTGCCAAAGAAACTCAGGGCAGCCACTCACCTGAGCTGCCCCTCTCCCCTTGAGAGTGTACCATCCATCCTTTAATAAGTCCGCACTTTACTCTTCTTAACCACTGCATCGTGTCTCTGAATTCTTTCTGGGACGGGACAAGAACCTGGAACACCGGTTGCACCCACCGGCAACAGAACCAGGAGCAACCCCCACGCCTGTCACTGGGTGCGTATGTGCACAGACTGGTGTCAGACACGGGGCACTGTTCCACAACAAAAAGAAGGAACACAGTGGCCGGGGTGAACCTCAGAGCCCTGACCAGCTCGCGTGTCTGGTGCTGGTCGTGTGACATGCGTAACATGCAAACTAACTTGTTGTGACCGGAGGCGGGCGACCAGTGTCTGGGAGCAGGCTGCTCAGGGAAGTGATGGAAACAGTGATGGTTTTGTCTCAAACACACACTCCAAAACAGTCAGATTATATACTTTAGGCACATGCAGTTTATTGCTCTTTAGTTTTAATGCAATGAAGTTACACCCAAAGAAAGATATTTTTAAAAACTTGACCAGATGGCCCAGGGTCAGACTCTCCTGCCCATTTCTCTGGTTCTGTGTGGTCAGTCCAGGAAGGCTAGAGCCCGCCCGAGCCCCCCAGAGCCGGCAGTGCAGGGGGTCCTCTGCCCTCAGATGTATTCGCGGCACCGCCTCCCCACCCAAAAAACGCCTCCCGCTCCAGCTTGGGGTAGAGCTCCTCCCCTCCCCGCATTCAAGCCCTTTGGAAGCCTGGTGCCAACCCGGCCTTTCAGCCCAGTCTCTGTGTGCTCCCTGGGTGACCCTGAGCATGACCTGCGCGCCTCCCCGTGGCCTCGCTGACCCCTCCCTCTTGGGCTGCAATGCTTGGGTCCAAATCCTTCCTGTGCTGTTCCTGGGCCCAGGCCTCACAAGACCCTGGTGCTGGGCCTCCCCGCTCCCCTGGTGCCTGACCTCGGGCGCCCCGGGGAAACTCAGGGTCCCGACGGGTTCACACATGAACTAACCACTTGCTAGGGGCCTGATTGAAGGTCCCCTGAAACCAGCCCAGAGGGGATGTACTAGAAAAGAACTCACACCCGAAAATGGGGCGTGGACCACACAGCCCTGAGCAGGGTCGCTGCTGCCACCAGAGTGCGGGCACAGGGTGGCCTGGGCAGCAGATCAGCTGCAGGGAGACGCCTTCGAGGCAAGCCTGGCCCCCGCCCCTCTTCCACCCGCTCAGAGAGTACTCTCCCCCTCTCCTCCTGACCTCGCAAACCCCTTCTCAGCCCCGCCCGAGTTCCTGGCCACAGAGGGCCTGTCCTCCTCGCATCCTGGGGTCCCCACTCCCCTCCCGGGTCAGGACCTGGTTCAGCAGGCATGACAGCCTGGTGATGCCTCCGCCACAGGACCTCCAGCTACTTGGAGGAAAAGTGGAAAGCACTCCCAAAAGCCTTTTTTGGCCCCGGGTCATTGTTTTTTCTCCTAGCAAACTTGGCCCCCATGTGCTATTTCACCAGTAAAAGTTTGGCCGCAGTCCCCTGCTGTGAAATGGGGCCCTGGCTGAGGCCAGACAGAGCCTCGGGTGGCTGGCCTTCGGGCCGAACTGCCTCCTGGTTCCACTGCCCTTGCTTTTGTTGGATTCCAAGTTGTCCTCTTAAATAGCTCTCAGAAGACCCAGCTTTTCCTTTTTAGTGAGGACCAGGCTTTGTAGCCTGAGTCCCCAATAGCTGTCCGTCCACAGCCCGACTGCGGCTGCTGGCCACGCCGCCTCCTGCTCCTGTTTCTGCAGCAACCACTGTTTGGGGTAAACTGCGCTGGGCTCCAGGGCTCCTGGTCAGGCTGGGAGCCGAGGAGACTGGAGCTGGGCGTTATTTTCACATCTTGTCTCTGCTCCTGGCCCCCCAGCCCCTAGAGACACGCCAGACACGGAGTGGGTGGCGCCAGCGCTTCCTAAGGGTGGAAACAGCCCCGGGCGGCCTCCAATCCAGCCTTTGCGCCGAACGTTGGGCACAAACCGGCAGCTTCACAGACTGTGATTGCATCTGAGCGGTCCTGTGCTGCGTGGAAGGTGCACAAACGGAACGGCATCTTCAGATGCAGAAAGGCTGCATGCCCCGAGCCGGAGCAAGAGGCGGGATTCCGTCAGGTGTGAAGGGCACCTGCGCAGAAAAGACACTCACACACAACAGGTTTTCATCAAGTTCAGAGGATTTTCCAAGAGCCCGGAGTTCGAAAAGTCAGACACAACTTAAGAGCCAAGAAGTGCAGTCAGTCAGGAGTCAGCCCGGGGGCGAGTGGTTTCCAGGCGGGTAGAGTCACGAGGGCGACACGGGAGTTCCTGGACCCCCGCTGCCTGCTGTGCCCCGGTGTGTCCAGCTGCGGCCAGACTCAGTCTCCATGCTGGGCAACGTCACTGCCGGGCGGGCTGGACGTTGGTTCCCTGTCGATGGCAGCGCCAGTCCTGGACACCTGCTGCTCAGGCCCCAGACTCAGCACAGTCCTCTCGGAAACAACCGGGGGCCTGGTGGCTGCAGCTCAACACCAGTGTGGGGGACCCCGACTTCTCACCACATGACCCCAGGCTCCGCCGGCTGACTACCTTCCAGCCCTGAGCCCGGGGTCAGACGTGGCTTCACGGGGCTCCTCTGAGGCCTGGCACCAGGGGCACCTGCCGTCCCTGCTCACAGCCCATCCTCTGTGTCCAAATCCAGCCGCGAGGTGTCTCCCAGCCTCCCTCTGCCTCCACCCCATGGCCTCCTGCTTACAAGGATTGAACGGTTTATGACCGGCTCACCTGGGTACCCAGGGCCCTCTGGTCACAAGGCCCCTATGTTAATCCCACCCACGAAGTCCTCTTCACCAGTGAGGTGATCTAGCACTGTCTGGGGATTAGGACTCGGAGCCTGGGGTGGGCGGGGGTGTCCTCGTTTGCTCTAAGTGAGCCAGGTCTGCCACGTCCCCACCTTGAACTTCAAACTCCGGGAAACACAAAGTGCTCTCTTACCTCCAACCCGTAGCTCAGCTGCCCCCCACTGCTCAGCACCCCTTCCAGACAGCCTTTCCCCTGGCCTTCCCCTTGTTCCCCTTATACGGGGAACGCCTTCCTCGGAACCCAGGACGGGCCAGCATCCGCCCTGTGTCCATGGTG